TTCATCCCACAGCCCATGCTCGTTAGGTTAAAAAATGCAAAATGCACCCTATGAACAATCATTTCATTGCCTGTTTCATTTTAAATATTGTCACTACTACACACTGGATAAACCCTCAAAGACTACCTTGCTGTTTTCATGTGAGGAGCTTGCTGTACAGTTGATAAGACCAGACCTTTGACTCCATCTAGTGGTCACATATGCTCACTGATTTCTAAATGTATTGCACAGTGAAGAGTGAGTGCTGCAATACTGAGCTCGACCGCCCCCGAGCCCCAGATCAGCAGAGGCCTCAAAAGCAACACTCCTTTGATTTCTTTGCACTTGTATCAATTGGTCCGATTAGATGCACATAATAAAGATCCTGATATCTGTTTCAACTTCAACTTTCAACAACTTATTGTCCCGGAGGGAAAATTTGTTTAGCGACCAGAAACAAACAAGAAGTCCCTGAGAGAGACAGAGTAGACTTGACCTCAGTGAAATAGGTCAGCGAGCTGTTGACGGCTGCTAATCAGCATCCAGTGTCGTTGTTAGCTTTGTGCAGCCTTTTTCTAAATGAGAATTCAGACAGAACCCATCTAAACTCAGTTTAAAAAGGGCTGGAGACATTTTATAAACAAGTTGGGTAATTGCGGTTACATATAATTATTCTAACTATTGATTAGCTTCTGTTTTGTCTCTACATTGTCAGTAAATAATGAAAAACACAATCTCCCAGAGCCTGAGGTGACGAGTGAAATTACTTCTTTTGTTCAAGTAATGCACTATAGTGCAAACCGATTCAGTTGACTCTGATGTTAAAGCGTCAAGTCCTAACATTTGAGAGGAAGCAAACAGAACATGTTTTGAATTCAGGCTCGAGTAATACAAAAATAAACAGATTAAAACCGTTTCTGTTGATTCACAACGAAGCGCTAAAACAAGTCCAGATAGTGATCTTCCTTCAGGTTGAATGTGTGTTGTTGTTTTTTTTTTCTTTTCTTTAAAACATTGCAGAAGGCTTTGCAATTTATTGTTTAGTTTACAGTTCTGAAAGTGAAGCTGATGCAAGTGTGTACCTTGTAAACTGCAGTGTGTCTAATGGCCAGCAGGGGGAGACTGCACTGCTTCTCAAGAGAAGACGTTTTTACTACTATACCTCATATCTCATTTCTACCAATGCAATATATATTTTTCTACCTGTACAATACATATTTCCTGCAGAATTTATATTTCTGTACCTGTGCAATAATATACACTTTTTCTGAATTTGCAAAAAAAAGAAAGTTTACTGCATTACACATTGTGTCTCTCTTCTTGAATGCAAGTCTTTTATAAATGTGGATGCCTGAACGTTGTGCTCCTTCGTTGTACAATTGTTTAAAGACAATAAAAGGCTTTCTATTCAAGTCAGATTGTACGAGGCCAAATGGGAAACTAGTTCTCACTGTCCTTTTGTTTTGGAAGATAAAATGCAATCTATATGATAACCAGTTCGCGTCTTCACATTTGATTTTTTTTTTCATTTGAATGATGGAAGCATTTACTATAGAAGAATCCAGTCTGACTGCAGGGTCTGTTGCTTTGTCTCTCATAAACATGCTCGCAGCACCCGGGCTGGAAGGAAGCTGGGAGAGAAATGCTGCCGGGTCCTTAGATTATAAGATAGTAGAAGAGGGGGGGAAAAAAACTCTCTTTCATCGCCCCTCCTATAAGTATTAAAGCGCTGGAAGTCTCCCACAGGAGGAGTTAATCTCTGGGAGTTTCTGCGTCGAGACAGCGTAAAGTTTCCTTCTCCCCAGTCGGGAGGAGAGAGCGGTTAGTGTCTGTCAGCGGAGACTCGGTTGCCTTATCTCCCACCAACTGTGGACCCTGTCACTCGCGTCTCCCCAAGCCCAAAGCCCTGGGGCATTATCTCAGCCTCTGCTGCTCACATTACGGCGACCTGCTGGGGCTGCACTGCCCCCCTAAGCCCACCAACCTATCTCATCCTTCTCCTTTTCCTCTTCCATCAAACACTCCCGATTTGCCTTGTTCCCATCCTTTCCTTTCTGTTACTTCTAATCCCCTCACCTACCTCACCCTTCATCTTGTTCCTCCCCTCTTTTCTCATTACTGCCTCGTCTTTCCCTTCTTCTCTCAGCCGCTCACACTCTCACCTCCCTTGTTTTTATTTGCCCCTTCCTTCCCTCTCTCCAGTTCCTTCCATCCAGCCTCTGAACTCCTTCTTTCTAATTACACGATCCTGGTTTTCCTTTCCTTCTTCTCTTCCCACTTTCTGACCTCAGCCGAACCCTTTCCCTATATCCTTCCCATCTCTCCCGAGTATTAAGCCAATGTCGGGTATCCAGCAGGGCCTGAAATACAATCAGATAATGCTGGACCTCCAATCAGACTGGCAGAAGGTAGTTCTCTGCAGAATTGCTTGCGCTACACTCTGCAGATGCACCGTCTCTGTGTAAGGTCCAAGAAAGGTTTCACGCACGGAAGCAGCAAACATCCACCCTCACACCCACACACAAGGTCAACTGCATAACAGGGGGGGGCATGCTAGCTGAAGAAACAAGGTCAAGAAATGTCATGACCTCATGTTTTTATCAAAGGAGCAGAATAAACAGAAATGTATGTTGCAGGAGAGAGAGAGAGAGAGAGAAAGATGGTGGTCTTTTAACCTTGTACACATTATAACATCTCCTTTCATAAAGGCTAGTGTATGAGTGCGCAAGGTTTTTGCCTCTTAGCGAATCAATATAATGAATCCCCAATCGTCTCATAGCTTTCAGGAAGCTTTTATGTAAATGTAACAACATCCAACTGTTTCTTTTTGTCGTCCTGGGAGATCAAACCAGACATTTTGGCTCTGCCTCAGCCACAATGTTCACTTACTCTGACTACAGTCCCCATGGCATTACGTTGAACATCTTCTAGTTCTACTGTCCGTGGTGGAAGCATAAAGGGTAAAGGATGATGACTGCATGGTGGTGGTGACTGGTGTGGATGACTTTTTTGATGTAAAGAGTAACTTAACGTGTTAGTTCTGCATTGCAAGTCATGTGTTAATAAGTCACTTTTTCATGAACCAAATCCATTACTGGGTCCCTTTTTCCTTTTGTTGCTGCAAAAGAAAAAAAAAGAAAAAATCCCAGCATCTCTGCATCAGTTTTAATATCTTTCTGTGTTCTAACCTCTCTCCATTTTCCAAAAGCATCTCCAATATTGATCCTAGTTTGAGCACGTTTCTGCTCGTGGAGCTTATTAGAAACATGCAGAGGCTTTTTAGGTCGGGTACAATCACTTCTATCTGAACCAGTTGTCCCGCCCGCTTCCATCACTGCAACACCTGTTGGTTTGACCTCATAACTGGTCTCATATCTGGCAAACCGAGGGGCATCCAAAACGGCCGTGTGGGGGTGCCTTAAAACCGCCTACCTTATCTGGTCCAAACGAATCCAGAGCATTCAGGACCAGAATCTAAAGTTAGAAGGAGGACATACTTGCTGCTGCATTGTTGTCAGAGAAGCCAGAACTTCAACATAGCATGTTTCCTTAAAGTCTGACGATAGTGCTGTGTTTTATGATGTAATACATGAGATATCTTTAACTGTATTGTTCTTAATGCTGAAAACATAAAGTGAGTAAATCAATAAGATGACACTACAGGGATGGTGTTACAAGCTGCTTGATAACTTTGCATCATTTCCAGCCGATATTTGCACTCAGCCAACAGAAATGAAAACAGACGTTCAGACGTTTGGGTCACTGAATAAATGTCTGCATTATCAAGAATCCACTCTAGTTTAAAGACCATTGAAGGTTTTGCAATAGACTATAGATGAGCAATAATATCGACATATCACATTTTCACAACCCCCTTACAACAACATCTTGCTGGAGATCTCTTAGGCTGAGTTACAGAATATATTTAAGACTCTTTTTTTGGAGCCCCTGGAGTCTTATCCTCTATTGCATGTTAATGATGTAAAATCATTTTACACATCCCTGGCTGTAGTGCAGAGATTAGAAGAGCTAAATCCATGATGTTAGAGAGCATCTCAGCATCTTTTTTTTTTTTCTTTGACCTTTTCTGCCTTCAGTGTCTACTTTTGGGTCCTTGTTTTTATTACCTCGTACACACATCTGGGCCAGACCGGGGGCCTCAGTCTGCAGCAGGTTCATGCTACAGGGCCAGTGGTACATTTGTTTAACAAGTGTTAACTTGACCTTACACCAGAGTGATCCCAAACCTGCCCCTACACTTTTACATTGAATTTGAGGTAACCTTTGGCTTTTATGGCGCTGTTCTTGTCTTCTGACTACTCAAAGCGCTTTTACACCGCAGGTCACACCCTGATGGAAGAGGCTGCTGGGTAAAGTGACCATCAGAAGAGACTCATCCCCGGTAGCCTAGTGGTTAGTGTGCACGCCCTGTGTACAGAGGATATAGTCCTCCAAACGGGTGGCCCGGGTTCAAATCTGACATGTGACTCCTTTGTCATTCCCCACTTTCTCTCCCTGATCACCAACTCTATCCACTGCGCCCCCCCCCCCCCAAAACAAAAAAAGAGACTTACACACTCATATGCTGCCGACGAAGTAGTGGGAGAAACTTGGGGTTAAGTGTCTTGCCCAAAGACACATTGGACATGTTGCTGCAGGAGCTGGTGGTCGAACCGCCAACCTTTCGTAGAGAAACGACCGACTGAGCCACAGCCCCCGCAACCCCTGAGTGACATCACTCACACATTGAATTGGATTATAAAGAAGACTTAATGAATGAAAATTTATGAATTAAAGTTTTCAGAAAAGGCTTTTGTAACAATTAGGACCTTTCTAGAACTTCTTCTAAAGTGGGAGTTTTGCTACGGGAACTCCTAAAAATCACTGCAACACCCCTCACATTATTCTTCCTCTTATGTTTTCTCCATAATATAGAAGTCTGTATGCATCTGTAGGCCGTCTCTCTGCAGGAGTTCCTCTCATTTCATTGGACATTTGCATGTTCATAAATTGGAACAAACTTGAACACATACAATAGTTCTTTTAATTATCACAATCAGTCACAGCAGCTGCAGGATTTGTCCAACAAAAACAACCCCGAGGTTTTTCATTCCAATTTACCGTCAAAAATAAGTTAAGTCAGAGTGTTAAATGGGAGATGCTTTAAAGTTGACATTATTGTACTTTCATGTGCTGTTTTTTCCCAACAAAAACACAATTACACGGCTGGTTGATCACAGACTAAATACACTGCGCATAATTGATTATTCAGAAATGCAAACAGATTACAGGACCGCCACACAGAATGATGTTTGTTAACGTCGAACAGACGGAGAAGGTGAAAACAGGCATTACATTTAATTAGAGTTAATTTAAACTGGAACAATCAATATTACACTTTGAAGAGTGACTCAGGTGACAAAAGTTTTAGGGCAGCTTTTTGCGACAGGAGAGACTGGAGCTCTAAAACTGAACCCTTCAGGGACTACTGTACAGAAAACCCTTGATTAGAATTGATTTATTTATACTTAATATCAAAGTCAGACACACTTATTTTAGTCTTGATGCAAAAAGTCAACTTTTTATTGCTTGAAATCTGTACTTTATCTGAAAAAAATACCCTTCTTTTGTGTAATTCAAAGCAATACAAACAAAACAGAGACTTCACTCTGAGAACTAAATACATAATTTAGATCCTGTAGTGCTCTTACATCCTGTCCATCTCTTTACCTACAGCTCTGTATCTCCTCTCACTTTGTTTCCTCCGACGGCCTAGCCTGTCTTTGTCTAAGCAGAGTCAGCCCAAGGGCAGAATCAATCACTCAGAGAGACGTCGGACGACTTTTTCTTCCCTCCACGTTTGCTTTCATTGCTGTTCCAGGAGAGCTTGGTAGATGTCTGATTTCAGAAATCGCGGATAACAGTCGTTTTCCATCAGAGCGTATATCAGTCTCTGCGCCCCGTCAAAGCAATTGGGCCCCGGCTGAGAAAGATTTCCACTGATTTCCTCTCTCGCCACGCAGTCAATGTTTATCTGTGTTCAGAAAAACAGCAACTTTTATTTCACTCATGACTTCTTTCTGTTTGGAGATATATGCATCATGTTCAGGAAGTGAAATATGTTCAAAAAGTGGAGGAAAAAAGTTTAGGACAGAGCTGCAAAGAAATAGAAAGGTGGCCTACAAACATCTTTTGTATCTCACATGAATGAAAGCATGCAGGAGTGACAGCGACAGCAAGCGAAGCCAGCGATTGAAGCTGATTTGAAGATACGCAGGTCTGACTTCATTCATGTCCCCGCGTTACAAAAAGCCGTACCTCTCTCGGTGCATCAACTTGGACAAACTCGGTGTACATCCTTTTGGCAGCCAGCGTCATCTCTGCCTCACTGGTAATTTTCTTGTATTCCTGGCAGGCCAGCCAAAACAGAAGGTTCTCCTCGCTGTATTCTGTCCTCAAGAAGTCCTCAAACACCAGCTGGCCGGCTGCACACGGAAAGCAAAAACACTTTGAAAGCTTGACACTGTTGAGAATTCAACAGAAGCTCAATTACAAGGTTTTTAAGGCTCTGTTTCTCCTACAAGCCTCCTCTTTTTTTCAAACATTAATTGCAGGGTGTCTAGACTGCGGGAAAATATACAGTCGCTGCAAAGACTGCAGGGGAAGATGCTGCCTGAGAAAGGTTTACAGCAGTTTTTCTCCTAGATATTACCATATTCATAAACTCACCAGTTATGCACAATTATGACCTGTTAGTAAATATCATTCTTACTTTATTCTTCATGTGTGTAAAAAAAGGCAGACTGTACAGAGGCCCTGAAGTCCCAAAAATGTACGTGTATCATGTAAGGTTAAAATATAACACAAGACTACTTTAATATTCTGTCTGATATCGCTCTCCGTCTCTTTAGAGAGTTTTGCCCATACAAGTGTCTGAGTCAGGTTCATTGAACTCTTTTTTGCTTCATTTGAGGTCAATTATTATCCTGCGGTAAAGCTGCAGCGGGACAAGCGCCAGACGTTTATGTTGAGTTGCATTTTTGATATTTCATTTCTGAACATCTGATGTCACCACTAAAGGTGCATTATGAGGTGATTTGTTGTTGGAAAGTTTTCAATCACAGAAAATTGTCACAAAGTAAACACCTTTACTCTCCTTTAGGATGAAAAGCTGCAGTAAGGCCCCGTGTCCACCTAGCGTTTTTTTTTCCGGGCAGAAATGCGCTGGCTGTGCGTTGAAAAGTGCGAAGAAAAGCGCCACTCGCCCGTCCTGTCTCTATGACAACAGTCTGTTGATAACATCCGCTGTATGACACACACTGCTCTGTCACTTTTTACTTCATGTTTTATATTTGAGATTTGAGTTCTTTTACCCGATCAGACACGGAGCAAAGAGGATGTGAGTACAAGATACGATCTGTAGGTGGCTAAAATACAGGGACTATCATACGTTTGGAAAAGAGCGCCAGTGACGTCAACAGCGCCTTTCTGAAAAGTCTTCAGACTACTCTAAGTGCTTTTACACCGCATGTCACACCTACACATTCACACACTGATGGTAGAGGCTGCTTTTTAGAGTGACAATCAGAAGTAACTCATCCCATTCATACGCTGCTGACGAAGCAACTGGAGCAATCCGGGGTTAAGTGTCTTGCCCAAGGACACATCGGACATGTTGCTGCAGGAGCTGGAAACCTTGACCTTCCGATTGAGAGACGACCGTCTCTACTAGCTGAGCCACAGCTGCCGAATGGCGAGGACATTTTGACTCGCCATGCTCATGACGGCTGTAACAGACGAAGATGTTTCTGAGAATTTTTCGTTTGTAGACAGGATTACTTTTCCAAATCAAAGAGGAAAACCTCTGCTAAAAAAAACTACCTGACTACGTTTCGACTAGGCCTTATTAACAACCACTAATAACTGCATCGGTACAGCAACTACATTTGGTCAAAAACTGTACGAATAAATACCGTTGGAACTTGCATCTCAAATGAAGCGCCAGTTAAAGCTTCCTCTCACCTTTCAAATGCAGCTCAATGACCTTTAACCCCTTTCTAACAGCAACTGGAGGTGACTCAGGAGTAATAATGTGAAGCCTTCATCATAATTCAGCCCTCATCAAATCCATGAGATGTGGCTGAACACACCAAACAGTAAGCGATATTTCTTCATTTCTCATTTGTATTTCCTCCCTCGTTTGTCTCCACTTTGTAACACCAGAAGGTTCCTGACCTTGAGTCTGTTACAACAGGACCTTGTTTACAGCAGAAAGCGCCATGGTCAGGAAACAACACATTTATGTGCATGGGAACATCATATTTAAATGAACCTGCTCTTTTATTTATAAAAAACAACAACAACAACAGAGATTTTCAGGAGAGAATCATAAGAGCACGAAGCCTGAGTGAAAGGTTAAGCTGCTCTGTTATCTTCCTCACATCCTCTCTGCTTCATCGTAGTCCTCGTTAGCTCAAAGAAGTCGGCGAACAAAGAGGCCGTGGTATTGTGCTGGATGTCTGGAGGCGCTTTTAACTTCAAAAAACCCTTCAAAAACCAAACGCTGCATCCCAACGTGCACTGCCTCAGCATCTTATAATTGCACACTCCTATACTTCCTGTTATCTTCCCCTCACACCCATTACCTTTGTCACTGGAGTATTCACGGAGCGGTGCTTCTAATGCAGGTGCAGAATACTTAGCAATTCTTCAGGGAGCGCAAACAAACAGCTAACTGCGAGCGTCGCCCGTTATTCACACAAATTGCTTTTCATAAATCACAGCTGCCGCTCTGACGGTAATTGACGGGAAATGCCGCGTCCAGGGGCCGCTTGTTCTCATCCATGAATCACCCCCCCTGTCCACATCTGAGCCTTCAATCATACCACAGTGTGCTCTTTAAAATCACACCAGAAGTAAAGGCGCATGAATGCTGAAAGACTGCAAGTGCCTGCGCGTAACTATTTCTATTTGTAGGTGTGTTTATCGATTTGTCACCGCGTTTCTTCAAAAGGGGGGGAAACGGAGCGGCCGCGATGCGAGAAAGAGAATTCATCATCCTGGAGGACAGTTAATGTTGACGCAGGAGACAACAGGCTGAAATATGACACATCAGCTGAATTCATTTCAGCAAAGTAATGAGAGAGAAGACATGTCAGAAAGAGAGGTGAGGAGAGTAAGAACCTATCAGCCGCCCTTTAGTCATTTTCAAACAGAGACTGGGAATACAGTCAGGTGAGATCCAGATGTCAGCACCTGCTTTATAAGTGAATTAAAGAGCGGGGCCGGAATCACCCTATCTTCACCGGAAGCTCAGATTAGGCCTCTTATCTCTGCACAGTGTCATCCCCATTTTTACATATCTCTGAATGGATTTGATGAACTTGAAGGGGCTATATCCCTGATCCCTCTTAAAGATGCCCCGAGGGCAACTCAGGAGGAGATGCAGGGTGGAGCAGCACCCGAGAGCAAAGGTTACAAAATAGGTCGGAGAAGTGAGAGGGGCGTGAATCCGTGCATCTACTTACTTTTACACTCCAGAAGCTGCTCCAGTGACTCTCCCCACGCCACGACATCGTCAGCAGGAGCCCTGCAGAGCGAACAATAGCAGAAAATGTTCAACCAGGAATAACTTTCATTCATCACTTAATTTTAAAGTCAAACTTTTATCTCCTTATTACATCAGAGGAAATGATGATTAAAGGTTCATCTGTTATTTTAAGGCTCAGTTTTCATTAACCGATATGAATCAATCATTTTGGGACTTTTATTAAATCTATGAAAGACAGCTCTCTTTGTCACATATTCAATCCTGCAGGAAGAATTTAATGACAACTCAAATTTAATCCAATATCGGCTCTTAATTGAAAAGCAGGCATAAAAAGGGACGAGGTCAGGAGAAGCTTTTATTACATTTGTGGTGTTGGAAAATAGAGTGAATAAAATAAGTCAGACGCTTGGTTTTAAATGCTGAATTGACGTAATCCTGTTGTCATTTAAATGGACAGCAGGATGCACTCCTCTGGATATACCAACCACAAACCTCTACTGCATGGTGTCGGCATATGGCAACAATTAATATAACTTAGAGGAAGTTGTATAAAATCCATGTTTTACTGTATGGTTGTGAAAAGAGGGGCTTTACTTTATAAAAGACAAATCATTTATGGCATCAGATGACCAGGAAATCCTGTTTGCACCTCCTTTTCCCATGGACATGTGACACCCATGGGATCTCCAAACATTGTTTAATTTATCGACATTTTGGATATTTTCTTCATTTAAAAATTAATATCCCATTTGGGACATGTTAACTTTGAGTTTTCTGCATTTAAACCAGTTCATTTGTGGACGTTTTTTTGTAAAAATGGTCAATTTGTTGCAATATGCCAACTATAGGCAAATATTGGAGTAATCTTTGTGCATCTTGGAATTAAATGGAGTCACACAGCACTCTCTGAGACGATGTTACAACTTTTGATTTCATTCAAAAGGATAAAAACACATTTTTATTTATAGTTTGTAATGTCATACATTTTTAACTGTAAAATCTGGATTATAAATTGAACACGGACACATCGGACATGTGGCTGCAGGAGCTGGGGATCGAACTCCCGACCTTTCGGTTGAGAGACGAGCGACTCTACCACAGCTGCCCACAATAATCCTTTAAAGTAGGACCAGTTCGATTCTTCACTGAAAATCACAATAGCCCTAACATCAATGCGGTAGTATACAAGTGGTTAAAAATCCTTAATGAGAATTTAGTAGTTTACCTTAATGGTTAAATACATTTAATGAGTCCTATTCTTTGGGACGCGTTAAATAACGTGCCGATTTGATTGAAACTGTGTCAAAAATTCTGTGTTTGCAAGTTTAGTTTGAACTGAAGTTAGATTGATGTAAACATTACAGTGTACAACCAAACAAGCTAGTCATTAAAGTGACTTGTTGTGAAATCCTAAATGAGATTAAAATGTAATGCTCCCTGTGGGGAATGTGGATCTGTGCAGCAGCAGAGAATCAGATAAGAATAAGTCAGAGCTGTGAATGTAATACAAGGAATTACAGCGAGGGAACACGCTGCAAAAGTGGAGCAAATAAATAAAGAACAAGGAGCTGCTCTGACAGACTCACAGCCTGCAGAGGATGTGAGGAGCTCATGAGACTCTGAGGAGATGAGATAAGGACTACTGTACTGAATACGTATTTTACATCATATACTGTGCTTAGTATGCACTGTAATCATGTAGGTACAACAGCTTCTGTATCACTGAGTTGCAGCGACAAAATCTGTTTTTGCTTTTTGGACATCCAGAGCTATGACTGCTCATGTGCACTGCATCTTGGTACATGTAGGCAAAGCCAGAACAGCAAACAGAAGAACTTATTCAGTAAAGCATGCACTGACAATTCGACTGCTTTAACTGACTTATTAAAACCACTGATTGGACATCCACCCACAACAAGGGGAATATACAACCTTAAGAAATTCAGGTTTTACTTAAAGTTAAAGTAAAGAAAAATGAACAGTGTAAAAGTCACCTCCTCTACATCCCTCACAGAGTAGACCAGAGGACCTAAACTTGTGTGTGTGCGTTGTTGTCACATGATCAATAACATCTGCATCAGTTCTTTCTGCTACAGAGCCAAACCTAACAGTGAGTGTTGGCTGTCACTGTTTCTATATTGGGTTTGGACCGAGTGGCTCAATTAGGGCCAAAAATAATTCAAATACCAACACGATAATGAAAAATGTTTAACTGAAGTCAAATAGATCTTCTAGATAATAATACAGAGGTCAGGCTTGTGAAAGTCGTTTATCATAGACATGGTAATAAAAAGTAAGTGAGGAGGTTTAAGTTATGCCTTCCATACACTGGGAGACTTTAAACACACTTTAAAAGACGAACGTCCGACACCCTCTTACATCTAAAGACAATGGTGATATCGACTCACAGAGTATTTAGTCACAGACTAAAAGTTTGCAAAGACTGGAGATATACAGTCATTAAAGTCAAGACTACAATGAGACTCTGTTTGAGATCGTTTCCCACTAGCAACCACAACTTTTGAGCAGAAAACCAAAAAAGGAGGACAAACTGGTAGAGTTGGGAAGAGAGCAAGAATTGTGCGTATTCATCTTTGTGTCGATTGGAGAAGGAAAAAGGAGGACAGAAATCGCTGACAAAGAGGCATTCTTGCTATCTCTAAAACTCCCATCAGTTTCTCCATCTTTTCCCACAGTCCAGGAGAACGCACACATCTATGTGCCTCATAATTTGCAACTTCCTTATTGGTGCTTGGCTGGAACTCTCCTATTGGTTGTTGACAATGGCCATGTCATTGACAATGGCTAACACAATTTGCATTAGACAAGACCAAAGACCTGCTATACAACTCAACAGGTTTTGGTTTTATTGTAATGAGAAGGAGACTGCCTTAAACAGCTCATATTGAGTCTAATAAGCACCTTACACCAAACAACGAGATCACAGGAGAGAGCACCCCAACTCTTGCAAAACTCTCATGATTTTATTCAGACTTTGGACATCTGTCTGTGACTTTGAAATCATCAGTGTTGGTTGTAATTGGCGTTATAGAAATAATGATTGATTGAAACACTGACTGGTTTTGTCAGATATCAGTCACTGGGTTTTGAGCTATGCCTGATGAAGTAACTCACTCAGATGGGGAAATGGCAAAAACCAAAGCAGACAATGCCTAATGATAGACGAGAAGCCTAAACGACCACAGCTCTTACAAATATACTTTATCTGTCCAAATCAAATCCCAATGGTGCAGAAAACAGCCCAATCTAAAAACACTGATGGCTCTGGGTGAAGCTGGAAAACACTTGTCAATAATGAAGCAATGATACTTTTGTGGCTAATCATTTTCCAATGCTCTCTTTTTTTTAGCCAGTTATTCTTGTCTGTAACACCCTGCTCAACGTCAGCTATAAACATGATCATGCTGTTACTGTAAATGAAACATTTCCCAGTACTGGCACTGTATTGTTTTCCTTTCTCATCTGAAATGTGACGGAGCCAGCAGCACAGTTCGGACCTCGCCGACTCGTCATCATCAGCACCAGCACCTGGAACAAGACTGCTGCAGGCAGCGCGGTCCAGCAGCCTGCCTCATCTAATGAACAGCGCTGACTGAGAGCCACACAGTCCTTTCTGCTGGGACAGCTGTCCAACTGAGAGAACGGACTGCAGCTTGTATGTTTGTGTGTGTGGCAACAGAAATCCCTGAAAAAAAATGTGTTGAGTTGTACCTCTGCAGATTTTCAGTTTTTCTTTTTGTATTAGAGTCTAGTGAGCAGACTCCGTCCTGTTTGTCAGTCAGTGAGGGTTTATGAGGGTGGCTTAAAATCCCCTAAAAATTACACTCACCCTTTTCACTAACAACAAAAGCATTCAAATGCTTCATGCAACCTAAGCTAGATTTTGTGTATGTCAGTAAACTAAAATTGTAAATTTTGTCATTTGAACAATATCAAAATACAAAGTATTGTTGGGATGTTGCAGAGTTCACTGACAGTTTAAACTGAACTACCACTCAACCGTGTGAGTTATTTTTATATGCACAACAGGATCATGCAAATTCCACATCCACATCCACATCCACATCCACATCGCCATGTCCCTTTCCACCAGCTTTTACACCACATAAAGAGGAATCGAGGAAGAAAAAACAACAACAACGACCACAAGAAACGTGCTGTCGGATCCGCGTCAACAAGACAGCTACTTTACTGAATTTGTGGCTTGTTTTGAGTCATTTTAGTCAGATACAGACGTAAAACTCCAGGAATTCTCTATAACGAAGGCTGTCCACGTTGTGCAGCCGTGCTTGTGCTCGTGCATTAAATGTACCGTACAGAAGCAGACCTCTTCCCAAGTGTGCCAGGGCCAAGGCTTGAGCACAGATCGGAGCACTCGCACTAGTCAAACAAACTGGACATCAGGGGTGAAGCTACTTGGGCACGATGCACATTGCCTAGTGTGAGTGCGCCCTGACACGTGAATAGAGAGGGTCGCTTCCTGCAGTTAGGTGGCTTGAGGTCGGTTCATGTTCTTACTACCTATGAACAACACCAGAGTCTGGAAACAGAGAACACCCTTCAAGCAGTCTCAATATTGTTTGTTTGGTCCGCACCAGGGTTCTATTGACAGCTTTCATACCAGTGCAAACGAACCGCACTAACTTGGCGAACAGACTACAAGTTTTGTTTTGACCAAACCGAACAGGTCAGGGGTGAACACACTGTTACCTCCACGCTCCAAAAAGAATGAAGCCTCGACCTATAGTGTAGTTGTAAAAGTCTTGTTTTTGACAAATCAAAAAAAACAAACATTGATCAACAACTTTCCAACACTGTGCCTCAAAATCAATTGACATGTTAACTCCACATGCTAGGTTGCTATGTGTGCTACAAAACAATGCTACCAATGCTTCATGAGACTGGACGGGTACTGGGTGGATGCAAAGAGAGGATATGCGGTGCTACAGAGGAATGGGAAAGCTGTGAAGATTGGAACATCTGTGGTTTCAGGTGAATACTCCAAACACAAAGAAACTGTTGATCGTGTTCAAAATCTGACCTGCTGTGTTTCTTTCTCCTGCTGAGCTTCAGATCAGGGGAAAATTTCAGTGTCTGCTCAGAGGAAGACAATCAGCAGGCTGAAGCTTTTGCCCTTTTTTTTTCTCGGCTCTGAAACAGATTAGCTCTCATGCACAGTGTCCGCTTCGTGTTCCTTTTGATAAGAAATCAAATGAATTCTTGACAGCTTTAACGGTTTCACTTTTAAGAGATGTGTGTTATCAAATGCTCCATCAGAAGAAAGGGACGAGGCATCAGGGGAAAGGCTGGATTCAAAACCAGCCGCTCATCTTTCGATGGCTTCATACAGAGCCCAGATTCAATGCAGAGCACATTCAGCTCACAAGAAATCTCACTTGTATTTAGACCCCCTTTCTTTTTTTTTTTTTTTGCTTCTTAGGAAGTGAAAGAAGGAACTGAGAGAGAGCTGGAGGCATCTTGAGAAGCGCAGAGACACACAGAAACACAGAGCGAGAAGCTTCCAATAAGAACTGCTCAGATCACAGGAGCCCCCGTCAGAAACACTTGCTCACAAAACTTGCAGACAAGAGAGAACCATCCGCAAAACACATCCCAGTTTTAGTTTAGCAACACGCATGCTGGCTTGGCGAGATCAGAAAAAGTCAGTCATTACTGAGGATCATGTCTGACCGGAGGGGAAAGTAAATCATTCAAAATGATCCTCGGTGCCAGACGAGTTTAGTTTGTCCAAAGACACGAAAAGCTTAAAGCCAATTTGGAGTTCATACTTACAACATGTGTTTTCTTTTGCCAAGAAAACTGAAGGATGTTTCGAAACGGAGAGCTGAAGAGTGAATATTCACGAATAAACACTCTCTGATCTTCGCTGCTCAGGCTGCTCTTCCCTCTACCTGACAAACCCCACAGGTACAAGCCCATGCATGTCGAGCCGCAGCACAAACAGACCCGCGCTTTGCACACAAATATCAGCTCTCACTCTTCACTTTTTTTTTTTTAAAAACTCCCTCTACTGACAAAGAAAACAAACAGTTTTACCTCAGCATTTTGGTTGTTAAATGCAAACTTTGCTTCTGTCCATGGTTTGAAGGCTTCTTTTTGAGGCCGGCATCTGAACACGCCCTATGAAAAGTTAAACAAATCGTGTGTTCACCATGCAAAGTAGAGGCAGAGGAAGACACAGTGGCTGTGGCTCACCCTGTCCTCATAATGTGGCCGTATGCCTGAACATTACTGTGTCTTGGATTACATTTTGGCTCTTTGAGATGTACAGATTTAAGAGAAATGGATACATATCAGACCATGAGGTAGATAAGTCACCTCATAGTTTCTTCCTTTTAAGGTCCTGAGAGGAACTTAAAAGGTTTCTGTCGATTTTGGCGCCCCCTGTGGTGAAACCGATACCTCTTATGTCTTAGCAAATTTTGTTGAGTATGCATGAAAGTAATTTAACAAACATATAATCCAGTAAAATGCATCACTCAGCAAAAATCTTTTCCGTGGAAAATGAAAAAAAAAGTTGTTTTTTGGCAGCAGGTGCATGATGGGAAATAACCTCAAAAGGAATTAGTCTTGTAGTCTTGCAGTTTGTGACCCTGATCCACAGTCTTTGCAAAACCTTGTATGTGCCTACAAACTCTGAGAGTTACTGACATATTATCTTCTATATGGAGGGCATAAGTCTTGATTCTGATTGACCTCTAGGTTATCTTGGACTAAAAATGACGTTCACTTTGATGTCCCTGAACCAAAACTCAAGGACAGCGGGTCTCATTCTGAAAACCAGTTGCTACAAAACCTTTGTAACAACTGCAGCTCTGTTTATTTGGCTCCTCAATTATTTGTATTTGTCTATTTCATTGTGCACTGTGTGGTTGCAAGGTAGTGCAGTGGATTGCGCTTTCCTCACAGCGAGGAGGTTCCTGGTTTGAATCCCTGTCGGACAGGTGACTCTCTGTGTGAAGTTTGCATGTTCTACCCGTGCATGCGTCAGTTCTGTCCGGGTACGCCAGCTTCCTCCCACAGTCCGAAGACATTCTCGTTAGGTAAATTGGTGACTCTACTTTGCCCGTAGGTGTGAATATGAGTGTGGCTGGTTGTCTGTCTTTATATCTCAACTCTGAGATTGACTGGTGACCAGTCAAGGGTGTAACCCCGCCTCTCGCCCAATAACAGCTGCTATCGGCTCCAGCCCCCCTAGCGACCCTGAACCGGAAAAAGCGGTAAAAGATAATGGATGGATGGATGGACGTGGACTGTGTGATGGACTGTGTGCTCTCTTTTTATCTTTGGCTATCCTTGCTCTTCGCTGCTGTAACACTGTAAAGGTTTATCTTATCTTCTCAGCCAGTAATTATACATATATATAATACATATATAATTTTATTTTATGCTAAAATGGCAAAAAAAAAGTGGTGCTATTAGTAGCGTTAAGAACACTAAAGAGTGCTACATGAATCTAGGAGCTTCAACACAGCAGGCGCTGCAGAGGAAAATGAGAATGAAGTGCATTTGAGAGGTTGTAAATAATCCTGCATCATGAGCAATTTTATTTAATCAGTTATACAATCAGTTTAGAAGCATAGTTAAAAGGTTTTCACTATTATGATCCATTTTTAGGGTTTGTGTTTGCACAATTGATCAATAAAATGCCCCCCTCCCCCCTTTATTGTACTGTGAAAAAGTTTTCCAAACAGCGGTTGGATAGTGTATGTGTGTATAATATATAGGAGCTTCTTTACTGTCTCCACATCACATTCAGATTCAGGCAGAAAACAATGCTATAAGACTATTTTTACATGCAGTCCCTCCCGTGAATACCTCTAAATCTATCACACGTGCAGTGCCCGACAGGCTTTGCTGGATTCTTCAGCTTTTCATTGTTGCATTGTGTTGCTCCAACATGTTTGTGGGACCTGTTTCCTCTGCATGAACCAGACATCTGCACAGGTACGTGGAGGGCTCTTTGACCCAGTTCACACAGAAGCCCCCTTCAACATGAAACTCTCAGGAGAAAAACCGGCAGCAGAAAGCAGCAGATGCTCAAGTAGCAGGCAGAGGTGGGGTGCAATGTCCTCATCTAACATCGAGTGAGAGAGAGAGAGACAGGTAGAGAGGGAGAGGGATGGGGCTGTGAAAATGACTGATGGCGACACAAATGGCAGAGCTGTGATCGTGAAGAGAGGGGAGGGGGAGAGTGAAGGGAGACAAGGGAAAACGCTGACAGCTGAGAGAGCCTACCTGTCCGCCCTTCTCTCGTTTTTCCATCTTGATTTGCAAGTTGTCGACGGGACGCTTGCAGGGTACGGCCCGGAAAACAAGAACAGGTGTCATAAAACACCGCTGCGACTGGGATTTGCATCCGTAATGACCCCACTGGAGAAGCTGAGAGTATGATGGGCGCAACAAAAACCTGTCATATGAGCACTCGCAGCGATATTCATCACCAACTCAGCTGCAACATATCTGCTGTCGTATCACTAAACCGTGATAGAAAGCGGCTTTTTTTTCTGTCTTTTCTACACAAGCAGGTTGTTTGTCTGAGTCTTTTCCTCACTGGTCAACTGTGTGCTTAATCCTGGAAAACCACGACTCAAATCTTTCAATTTTTATTTCAACCAATTAACCTCCTGATCTATCAGTCCTGTCTGCTAATAATAACATTCACATGCAACTAATTTAAAATCAATTATACAACACACCATTAGAAACATGAGATTCGCGTTTTATATGCCTAGAAGCCACAGAACCATGTGGACCGAGTAGGTACAGTAACATCATTGTATTTGGGGTTTTTACATTGTCTGCAAACTGTTTGCATGTGGACAATGTGTTCGTGTATTCATCTGTTGCCATGACGTCTAAGGGCTATGACTAAATGGCTTTTTGTAGAATGTCATTTATTATGCTAATTGAGATAGGTTTATAAAAGTTGAACGTCCACAAGGAGAAGGACAACCTGTTGGTATAAGATGGATTTATTTATTTGAATGTATTAATTTAAAAGAGACAATGCAATTTAACATAGCTTCAATACAGAGCATGACACTGATGTGCTGCACAGAGAGTTTATAGCTCGTGCTAATTTCCACCTCTTGCCCTTAGTTGAGTAAAACTGTACAACATTTGATTACATAAAAACCACATAACAAATGTATTTGTGCAAACCTGAGACATAATTTGGTTTGGAGCACTCCAGGCACGCTTCAAGACAATGATAGTGATACGGCCTAATGTTACATCGCAATCTAATATCTGCAGGCAGGTACACTCTCTCTTTTTCTCTTTAGCTTTATCCAACACCATACTCTTCTTGTTAGCCTCAGCCAGTGTATTAAACCGTACATATACGGGCTACCAAGCTAAGGGCTGGTGTGTGAACGAGTGCCTTAAAGTGATACGCAACCTCTCAAGAGAGAACTGCAGCCCGCTGCCAAAGTTACAAAGTGCTGAAAACAGGTTACCGGTGCACTCTGTGGACATGATTTAGACGCCATTCTCCCCGTTGAAAGCTATTGCATTATTTTTCTGACTTTTTATGCCTTTATTAGAGAGAGAGAGGATTGGAAATCAGGGAGAGAACGTGTGAAAACAGATGTAACCACTCAGCAGACAGCGCCCCAGCAAATGTATTATCACATTGACTTTGAAACGATTATTTTAAGCTGGAAATGTTGCATACTGTTGCTGAGTGCTTGTTGTTGTCCGAATGGGCGTGATTTCATTGCCACTATGGTGTAATTGGGAAAGCAGTGAAGTTTCTGAGGCAAGGTTGGGTTTATACTCGGGTTATTTGACAAAGATATCACGGTTGATTCTGAGCGTGAGGGGATTAGAAATTCAAACAATCCCAGACGGAGCGGCTCACACATCTGAGCTGCCCTGATACCATCAGACATGTTTCATATTTATGACCAGGCATCTGCAGGGTACTGAGTACATCCTTTTTTTAGTGTGTGCGGATCACAGCTTCAAGCTCAAGAGCGATAGCCAATGAAAGCCCAGGTAGCGGCGAGATGGAGTGGAACTGTTAGATGTTGGAGTCAGACGGGGCAGATACAAAGACACAGTTCTGCTTTTAAAAAAGTCTGTTATCTCAGACACCTCAAGGTGACGGAGCTTATTTCAGGCACGACCTCAGTCGGCATGGGCTCCATTTCTTTTCATTACATCTGCGGGAGCATCCCAATTTTTAATGTGCTCAGGACTATGACGTTATGTAAGGGATCATGAGCGGCTCAATCGCATTATAGCAGAAAATAAACCCTGACAGGGGGATGCAGGGCCTTACTCAGTGTGAAGGGGTTTATTTCCTCTGTAATGACCTGCTTACTGTACATTATCCTGCTTATTACACAGAAACTTACGCCACAAATCCATTCTTTGAAACACTTGTTATGTCATGTTATTGATTGGAAACAATTGCATTTATATTGCTAAAAAGAACAGTACGTTAATTTCTCAGGCTGAACATGTGCATTGATGGTGAAGTGTGTCAAAGTGAAAAGGTCAGCGTGAATCACCGCAGCACCACGACAGGTTTTTCTACCTCAGAACTGTCTGACATTTATTTTCCACTAGGTCTTCAACAAACGCTGAAGTCAATACTGTGTTCTGTTTATGTTTATTGCTTCAATTATCTTTGATTTTTCTCCAGCACCGCTCTTAGTGTCTTTTAACCTTTCTAGCTTTTTCTGTCCTTTTTTATTTAACCTTTTTTTTTTTTTTTTACAGGAAAACTCAGTGACACATGAGGCCTCGTTCTAAAGAGCATACCTGCCAACATTTAAGTTTCAAAATATAGGAGGGTACTTTGGGGATGGAAGGGGTGGAAGAGATTGTTGACTAATGAAGTTAATAAAGTAGATACAGTGAATTGTAGTTTTAATTATGATGACACCATGCTTGTGTGGTTAGAAGCTGAAATGCTATATATTATTCCTTACTTTTTCTGTAATTTTTGGTTAACTTGCTCCTTCATCAAGTTTTCGTCTCCCCTTTCCACTGGTACAGTATGC